TTTGGCTTACTCTGGGTTTTTGCACTTCATGAAATGCAATTCCCCTATATATTTCTCCTCTTTATTCAGGGCTCTGTTCAGAAAGATTTGCTAACCTGTGTTACAGTGCAGATCTGCCAGAAACACGACTGTATAATTAAAGTGGAAGAAGTTCATTACAGGGAACTAATGACTTAGGTGAGGGAAGAAGTGAGAAGCCAAATTGAGGATGGTGAAAAAAAATCCAGAGAGTAGCAGAAAACTACTACCATCCACAGGGGCTGGTAGGACATGGGGTGTAGGTGAGGCTGCTACAATCTCTAACCCACAGTCAAATGGAAGGAGATAGAGTCACACCAAAACATCTCCAAAAAAATGACAAATTTCCCATGGACCAAAATACAATCTCTCTAAGAGCAGAGGCATGGTCATTTTTGTTCAATGCTGTATCTCCAGTGACTAATACATAGTATGGAACACAGTAGGTGTTTAACACACGTTGGATTATTAGCCAAAGCTAATAGTTTACATATTATTTTACACAAATGACTAATCATTGTAATTCACTAGTCATGGCCAAAGTAACAACAAAAAGAGTACTTCCAGGCACTCCTTTGGTTATGTAGTAGTTGATAATAAATATTTATTATAAGCTTAAAGTTTACATTATATGAACATGAACTGTGTAAACTCTGTGAGATTACATATATCCAAATACTATTTATTTATTTATTGGATTTTTGCAGCAACCAAAAGACATTCAGTTATATCTAATGTAAGGTGGTTGACGTAATTGGCCTAAAATACGTTGCCATTATAAAGTAATAACATTAATATAATTTAGTGTGGTCATAATCTGACTTATAAGGAGTTTCCAAAAATGAAAAAAAAAAAATTACTTTAAACACATAACACGTTTTAATCTTTTCATGAAAAAATCTAGATAAAGCCTGACACATGAGTGGGTTCTACAGTGATATAGAAACAAATAGAGAGTTATCAACTCTTGTGTGCCCCAGTCCTTAATTAAACCTATATTTAACATTACTTGTACTGTGAGTAGTCAATATATCATGTGACTAAGGCAAATCCACAATAATATATGCCCCGTCTTCTCATTTTTAATCCTAAAAGATAACCATATCTTTGGATTATAGAAAGCTTTTCCAGTAGACGATATGGGTATTTATATCCAAGATTCAAAGAAACGTTGTCATGTGATACATGCTACAAGTCCTTTATTGAATATTTATTCACAATTATTACAAATTCATTAACTACTGAAGGAATCAATGGCAGAAATTTTACATTAATTACATGTGAATGTTATGTCTTTAATTCTGTTGTAGTACAACTCAAACATCTCTGGAATAAGTGGCTATTCAGACCACCAAAATAAGCAAGGGTATAGCATTATCTCAGACATTAATCAATACTAATCATATGTAATGAAGAAATTAACAAAACATTTTTGTACACTTAAAATGATTAGTCAATAGTCTGTGACCATATGTTTGAAACTGGAAAGAATGACTACTCTAGAAGAGCAACAAGATATTAATTCAATTAGAAGAGACACATACTTGGGTAATCCAATCCATCCACTCTACTACCATCATTTCTTTTTTTTTTTTCTATTTTTTTTCTTTGAGACGGAGTCTCGCTCTGTCGCCAGGCTGGAGTGCAGTGGCGCGATCCCAGCTCACTGCAACCTCCGTTTTCCGGTTTCAAGCAATTCTCCTGCCTCAACCTCCCGAGTAGCAGGGACAATAGGCATGCACCACCACGCCCGGCTAATCTTTTGTGCTTTTTTTTTTAGTAGAGATGGGGTTTCACCATGTTGGCCAGGATGGTCTCAATCTCTTGACCTCGTGATCCTCCCACCTCAGCCTCCCAAGGTGCTGGGATTACAGGCGTGAGCCACTGTGCCCGGTCTACTTGCATCATTTCAAGAAACCTGAATTGTATCTAAAGTGTTTCAAGAATCTTCTAAACTTAACAGGTCTTCCACATATTTAGGAGATGCAGCCAGAGGTCTGGTAAAAATGAAAATCTAGACAACAAATACGAGAGTTTGATGCTTCTTTGTCTTGTGCTACATAGCTGTTTCGCTTACTTTTCCAGCACTCGATAGCTAGGTACAGTTAATTAGTCTTAGAGAGATCATTTATGGACCTACTTTAAACCTGATCTTCAGTCTCTGTACCCTGCCAATGCAAAACATATTTCAACAAATAAAAAGTCACTATTGGCTGGGTGCAGTGGCTTATGCGTGTAATCCCAACACTTTGGGAGGCCAAGGCGGGCGGATCACGAGGTCAGGAGTTCAAGATAAGCCTGACCAACATGGTGAAACGCTGTCTCTACTAACAGTACAAAAATTAGCTGGCACAGTGGCATGTGCCTGTAATCCCAGCTACTCGGGAGGCTGAGGCAGGAGAATTGCTTGAACCCGGGAGGTGGAGGTTGCAGTGAACCAAGATCACACCACCGCACTCCAGCCTGGGCAACAGAATGAGACTCTGTCTCAAAAAACAAAAACAAAAACAGAAACAAAAAACAAGTCACTATTAAATATCTCTAAGTCAGTTTAAAAAAAACCAAACTTTGATATTCAACCTCTTAGGTATATCTTTGATATTTCCTATACCTACTGCTCTTAATACTGAGTTTTAATAAATTCTTTTAGAATAGAAACCAATGATTCTTGATCTCAAAGATAATGCTCCTATTTTTCCTTCAAAAATTGTAATTTCATTGTTGTAAGGCAGCTAAATCTCTTTCAACTACAGTGTCACACAGTGACACGATTATTTAGGGGTTCTCTGCATGAATGCTTATTTTTTTCCAAGTCAACAAATATTTCAAATCAACAACAAAGAAGGTCTATTAATTGAAAAGCATCTGACTGGAACTGAACTCTCTAAATAGAATGATCTCGTTTTTCTTAATGGCATAGTACATTAAAAAAGGAGGATAAAATTAACACTATTAAGTGTTCCTAATAGAGATGATTAAAATAGTGAGACATCCTTTATTTTAATGAGCTACTGGTAATAGAAAATCACTTTGTGAAGAAACTTGGTAACAATAGCTAATAATAAACCATCAGGAGTTTCTGCTTAGTCTTATGAATTAAATTTTGTTTTCATTGTGCATTTTCTTTCAAATATAGAATTCTACCAATTTATCATTCATGACTGAACTTAATGCCTACTATATTGGGATTCTCACCAGAAAAGAGCTTTCCTTATTCTTTATTTCCAAAACAGTGCAAAAACAAACAAACAAAAAACTGTGATTATTTCAACTGATTTTGGGCATACTGATTATTCATTTGTTCATATTCCACCAGTGTATATCTATCAGAGGATGACCATGATCTCTTTTCAATGCTACCACCTGAAAATTATCCATGTAAGCCTGGTTTTTCATGACTCTGAATGAGTCATTACCGCTCAAAGATCTTTTTAATTCATTTAGATGTTTGCCCATAGAATCCTATGTTGTAGATTTCCTTCCTTTTTTTCAAGTCCCTAATTCCAAGCTGACTATCTTTTCTAAAGACATTAAATTTTATACCTACCACTATTATTTTTTAACTATATGAAATAAGCTCTTTATATCAACTACTGTAATCCTCATTTCAAACTCGTCTTTCTTATTATTCAACATATTATCCCTCTCCGGTTTTTACTGATACTAGATTCTTCCTTCTAATGCTACCTTCTTAACTTGTGTTCACAAATGCATAACTTCCAGTTTCCATCCCGCCTCTCTACTGCCTCTTTTTCCCTCTGCCTTTAAGTACCTTCAAGTCTTCCCTTGATTTTAATCTATCTAACTAGCAACTTATAATACTATTTTCATCATGGTGCTTCAAATGCCTCAAAAGTTCTCTAAAGTCTCTCAGTTACTCCAGTATTTTGCTAAGGCATTCATGATCTTCACCAGGTTGGCCCTAAACGGCTCTTCTATACTACTCTCCAGAACAAAATCTTTGCTTTTGTTTGATTGTTTTTGTTTCATTTTGTTTGATTGACTTTGCTTTTGTTTAATTTACTAAAGGCTGATTGGATTCATCCCTTCCAAAGAGAGTTTAAACATTGCCTTTCCTGATTTTTGACAATACTGTGAATTTCACTTAAATTACCTACATCTTTCTTCATTTGCCTGATTTCTAAGCTTCAGCTCAAATTGTCTTTTCTATGAAGTTTCTCTTACAGGCCTAGATCACATTTAAGCTACATTTTTCTCGTTCCCTATGGATTTTACATGCCAACTCCTTGTTTAGCACCTAATTATAAGAATATTTAAATTTACATTTGCATTTATGTTTATATCTGCATTCTTTCCTGCAGCAACAACATAACCAACCAACAAGCCAACAGTTACTGAGTACTCGTCAGTTATTCTGGTGGGTCACAGAAATATTAATACAAGAATGAATAATGTTTCTTTTATTTACTCAGAGCTCTTAGTGCAATGCATATCTCAGATAATAAAAAGTATTTACTGAAGACAAGTAAAGTATAACCAACAAGCCTGCTGTTAAAAGTATCTATTCCAAAGATACTGTGAAGTTGCTATATATACAGAAATACAACAAAAAAATGTCATGAAAGAACTGGAAGATTCGTGTGATCTCAATACCAGGTGTTATTTTGAGAGTCAAACCAAGCACATATTTTAAACTCACGTTTTCTAAGAAACACATTTCAGCATTCCCACTATTGCCAGTAAACCTGATAAGGAGGTAGAAACCTATTATTTGCAAGCATATTGAACAATATATTACTAATAATTACTGATATCCAAGATATTCTGATTGCAAAAATGCATCTTAAAAGAGAAAATACAGATGTCAAAACTGTACAAGTAAAAAACAAAACCAAAAAAACAGAACAGCTTAAAGCATACACACATTTCTATACATGCTGGTAGTTACAATAAAACACATCCAAATTGTTACGTTCCATTATTTTCAAAGAATATATCTTAAAATTGCGTGTTCTACATACCTGTCCAGTCTCCTACTATTTTAAGATGAACCCCAAATGTTGCTTTGGTTTCAGTAGGACACTAAAAAAAATAAATACTAGGATCAATTGTGATTAATAATTACATAATGCGAGACTATAATTCAATTATAACTTTTATCCTGATAGCAAGTCCTCCAAGTCAATACATAATAGAAAGGAACAGACTAAAATCTATGTAGATCCTTATCAGTGGGAAAAAAAAGCAATGTCAACAGGTCAATAAGACTATTTACATTTCTCTAGAACCTATAAATACTTATATGAAACAATACATTACACAGGTTAAAATTGCTAGTGTATTTCATTTAACTACAAATCCTGCTAAAACATCTTCTGAGTTAAAATACATATAAGAAAAGCCAGGTTTTAATCACAAAGGAAGAAATAAAAGCTAATGAATTTTTGTGTCCTTTTCTCCCTAGATATTATATACCTATCCTAACGAATTCCAGGGAGAAAAAATTCTTAATGTGATATTAATTTTCCATGCCCAACAATTATGCTCCTACTGAAATAACTATATCATTCCCACCCTTAGTTCTCAGAAGAAATCTGGAGTGGTGAGGGTACCTGGGGAAGGGGATGGGCTGTGGAAGTGTAGGCTAAAAAAAGTGCTGTGGTCCCCTATTTAGGAAACCTAGAAGACATCCAGGTAGTCAAAATGAAAGAATAAAATCTAGTTTACAGTAAGAAAAATGTAAAACCTCCTCTTGTTTTCTGGATTCCTACTCCCTTATCCTCAATTCCAAAATTCAAATAATTTTTTTCATAGCTGATTTGGTAACAATATCTGACTTGAATTAATGGGAGGCTAATATTTCTGTGTACAAATTCATACGTAAGTATTGTCCTACAGAATTATCAACTTGTTTAAGCATGCTGACTAACATCCTGTTGGAGATATTAAGTACTATATAAATATGTATACCTTTTAAAGTACATAAATTCTGAATTCTAAAAATGCATCTAAACTAATGGCTATGGGTAAGGGACCATCTGCCTGTGATTACCCAGCTTTCATCAAGTACCCACGTGCCATGGGAAGTATTAAGTGATTTATTTTTTAAATTTACAATAACTTTAGAGACTTGTTTTTTATAGATAAGAAAATGGAGTCATTGAGGCTTAAAAGATTGACTTGCCCAATAAAAAGACAAGACAAAATTCGTATCCAGGCTTGTTAATTCTTAATTATAGCAGGCCACTGTCTCTATTAAAGCAAAGATACATAAAACGAGTGAGTTGCATAAGAAATCAAATGGAATAAGAGGAAAAAAGGCATGTGTTGATCATTAGTAGAATCCGTATGCCACAATAGGAATTAAGAGGAAATAGGGGCTGAAGTCAAGGCAAAGATGAAAGAAAACGGCAGTGGAAGGACCCTCTGATCAGTGATTGGGTTACATAAAGCAAGACCAAGACTTCAGAGCTCACTGTGTTGACTAGCTAATGGAGGTCATATGGGGATGCTATAAGGAGAGAAATAAATGAAGATGAAGGTACCATGAAGACATGTTAACAGCTCATTAGGCAAAAAGGAAAAGTAGCTCAACAATCAGTGAAAACACTAAATATGTATTTATATAGATAGGTATTATACTATATATATATAATGTTATATATAATATATATAATAAGGTAGTTATTAGTCATTCATAATAAATTATAAACAAACTAAAAGCACATAATCTATGTTAAAGGACTGGAGTTAATGTACTATGCAATGTGCAAACTACTACTTTACAATCTGTTTCTGATAGGATTATTATTGCCAATAGTAGCATAAAATATTGAAGTAAAATGAAATATATTAAATGACATTGTTTAAACATTTATACTATTAAAATTATATTTTTCTTTATAATTGTGATTATATAATTAATTGTTTTATTTACATTGTAACTTTCTTTGTTACTGTTGTTGAGATGGAGTCTCGCTCTGTCACCCAGGCTGGAGTGCAGTGGCGCAATCTCAGCTCACTGCAACCTCTGCCTTCCAGGTTCAAGAGATTCTCCTGCTTCAGCCTCCCAAGTAGCTGGGATTGCAGGCGTCTGCCACCATGCCCAGCTATTTTTCTTGTGTTTTTAGTAGAATTAGGGTTTCACTATGTTGCCGAGGCTGGTCTCAAACTCTTGGCCTCATGTGATCCATCCACCTTGCCTCCCAAAATGCTGAGATTACAGGCATGAGCCACCACACCCAGGCTACACTGGGATTTTTAATAACTGAAAGCAACCAGTTTTGTCATCAGTAAATCTCCAAATAAAAGGACATTATCTACAAAAGCCACCCACGATTTTACTATATATTACTAAAGGCTGGCCAGAGTCTCGTATAATAAAACTTGTAGCTCTCAAAACGCAAAATACCCAACAAAGATCTGAGCTACCAAACTGATAGTCCACATGACACTGGATGTCCTTCACTGTGAACTAGGTCTCAGGTTATAAAAAGATGACCTAAAATCAAGAAGAATCAAAATGGAAAGCAAAGAATGTTCGTTCTTGTGTGCCTGAGGGTACATGTGGCTTGAGTTAATCTCATAATGCATTCTAAAATAAAACACATATTTTGCCAAATATTAATATCTCTGTTAAATTCTTTCGAAGCAGATATTGTGAAAGGTAATTGCACACAATGTTTAACATCTCTTTGGGTCTCATAGGAGACTGTAAACTTCCCTTTTCTAAGTACCAGTTCAAAGTATCAATATAGCTTCAAATGCTGGTCTGATGTTGAATGGTTAAAACATAATATTATTTGACTCAATCTCTTGGAAATGATGTCTTTATAAGTCACTGATATTTCTCCAAACTAAGAACTTTAACAGTCTTTATTTAAGCATGTAGCCTCATATTTGCAAAGAAGCTTCACAGAATAACATAAAGAATGACTTCAGTATTTGTGGTTTGAAAACTGAAGATCTTAGAATCACATTTTAGCATCTTTGCATTAAAAAAAATCCAGATTCACTAATATTGCTAGAACACATTGTAGTGATCATTGTTTTCTCACTGTCTTTTTGTTTCACAAAACATCTCAAAGGGACGAAATAGTACAAGCATTGATATCTATAGCTTTGTTATTTCTGCTAAAACATGAATAAAAAGATATGCTCATGGATATTTTTCAGTTAAAAAAGTTACAGAATAATATGTGTAGTTTGGCACATATTAATATTAAAATAAAAAGACAGATATTTGTGTTTTTTTCTCATTGAAGACAATATATAATAAAAGTTTAGGAGGCCGGGCGCGGTGGCTCAAGCCTGTAATCCCAGCACTGTGGGAGGCCGAGGCGGGTGGATCACGAGGTCAAGAGATCGAGACCATCCTGGTCAACATGGTGAAACCCCATCTCTACTACAAATACAAAAATTCAGCTGGGCATGGTGGCGTGTGCCTGTAATCCCAGCTACTCAGGAGGCTGAGGCAGGAGAATTGCCTGAACCCAGGAGGCGGAGGTTGCGGTGAGCTGAGATCGCGCCATTGCACTCCAGCCTGGGTAACAAGAGCGAAACTCCGTCTCAAAAAAAAAAAAAAAAAAAAAAAAAAAAAGTTTAGGAATACTAACTTGGGAAGTATAAATAATGACAGAGAAGTCTCACAAGTATTTCATATACATATATATCTATGTTTTAAAATTGATCCAAGTCTTTGCTATGATAATAATTTTTAAGTATTTTGAAATTTTAATTTAACTGTAAACATTAAGATATTGCTGAATCTCTTTAGTTTTCTCCAAATAAAAAATAAAGTTTGGATCATGTTGACCTTAATGTAAATAATAGAATATATATTCACCTAATTCTAAGAAAAATAAAAATTGACAATTCGACTGTAAAAACAGATCTGGAGAAATATGTACTTTAATGTCCTTGAGAAAATATAACTTTAACTTCCAATTATTTCTTCAGTATGGCACTGGGTTTTTAATGTGCACAAATGGCTAATAATTTTATAACAAAATATAAAAAGATATTTGTAACTTGTCATGTTTGGGAACTAAATTTAAAAACAATGTCACTTGATGTCTCCACACATTGCTTTTGAATAAATATGAATTTATACATCATAAAACAGTTACAAGCTGCATTTTTATTTGTAAATCAAGAGCCTTTTAGTAAAAATTAAAAATGATTCCAAAATAGCAACTTTTCTAGAACTAAATGTGTTAAACCTGAGAAAATGATCACAGAATATAATGTTCTTTAATCATTTTTGTCAAATCTTTATTTTAACCCTTTCTTCCCAAGTTCTTAGTTTCATACTTTTGACTGCCTGTTAGACGTTTATACCTGAAATTCACTCTAAATTTACCATATTTAAAATTAATGTTATCTTATTAATACTTCCAAAACTATCCTCTCCTTCTAATTCCATATATCTGGAAATAGAGCCTACATCCTTCTCAGAACAGAGACTCAAATCTCTCTGACAAATACTACTTATTTATCTTGCCAGCATTCAATCACCTTTCATTTCCTTTCCAACAGGCTTCCCAATGAAAATGTCTGATCACAGCAATCTCCTATTGATTAACCTTTTGTGTTCCTCTGTGAAAAAACACCCATATTCTTTGTGTCCTATGGCCTATGGCCAAACACATCTGTTTCAAATTCTTTCTGGCTTTATATCCATGTTTCCCCTTTATTTACTCTAATCGAGCTAAACCAGTACTTACCAACTAATACATTCTCTAGTCCCTTCATCTCCCTACATACGAGCCTACTCATTTTGAGTGACTTCTTTTCCATGTCTCATATTGAATCCTAGCAACTTTTCAAGGTTTATCTTAAAAGCCCCCATTTTATAAAGATATCCTGATTTTTCCTGCCAAGAAAATTCTCATTTCATTTCCCTGAGTCCTCAAATTATGAGTATGACTTTTATGTTCCTTATTACAGTCTAGTTCTTTATTTTTATGTAATTTTTCCTGTATTAATAAACTGTAAATGTCTTGAGATCAAGAACTACTTCTAAATCATTATTACATATTCTACAGCACCTTGCACATCGAGGGTATCAGTTGAATACATAT